AGTTCCTTTTAAAGGGATGAATGTGAGTCAGCGTTTTGATAATACACTTGATGCAAATTTACAAGTCTTCCTCTTGAAAAACAAAGACTTTTCTTCCATACCATTAAGGCATTGTGAGCTCTTGGTCTAACTGAACAACCCAATTCTGCTTACTTGACTATCTTAGGGCAGTATAATGGCTGTTGTAGTTTCTTGATTATTGACAAGAGACTGAGCTTTGAAATTCTTCTTCTGGGTGCTCTTGAAATGTGTGTCTCATGTATGTCAGGGTTGCCTTGTGTTGAATTTTCTTTGTGAGTGAAGGACAGAGAATGTTCTTTGTTGCGCCAATAGCACTTTCCCATATACACTCAAGGAAAGCTTTTCCCCCTCTCAACAGGGCTCAAAAGTCTTGACTGGAGTACTTCAGAAATAGACCTGGTTTATACTTTTATAAAAACAAGCAGTCTGGGCAACTCCTAGCTTAGAATAGCACTGGTGATCTTAGATTCTCCTAGGCAAGCTCATGCATGGTCCTGCCAAAGGCAAATGTATAGCAATGTGATCCCAGCCAGAGTAAAGGTAGTGGGTGTTCACCCCTTGCTTTGGTGAAAGTGATGTTTTCTAGAGAGAGAGGCTGCTGTCCATTGGGAACAAAAGCTGATAGTGTGGTGTGAGAAGTTTGATATAGGGAACTGAGCTCAAAATAATCTGCCAGGGAGAGAAGCTGGATTTAAATTTTTTTTTTTCTTGATGGAATATGTTGATAGTTCACATGTACATCATCTAAAGTAATAATCAGAAAGGGGAATGGAAGAATCTTGAACATGGAATTTGAATAGAACTTTGTACTGAGCATGCTACGTTTATTAGCATACCATTGAAGTTCCCCAGATAAACCTCTATACCTCATCTTTCTGGTTCCATGAAACCCCTGCTAGACTGAGCTGCCTCTTTGCACTGAAGAGAGAAGAACCAGAATTCCTCCTGTGCAGGGTGATGGGAAGAGTTTGCCTTGTCCTGGGAAGGTCTCATTATGGGTGAAATTTGTTCAGCCAGCATATGACAAGGGAAGAATAGTGAAGACTAGGGATTTCCCCTCTTCTCTCTACAATACAAACACTTCTCTTTCTTCTAGATAATAAAAAAAGGAAAAAATGTAAAAATGGACTTATATTTTGGTTTCTGAACTGTAAAACAGATTTTGCCAGTTCTCTGCAAAATAACTCTAATATTTGATTCTTTTCTCTTCTCTCTTCCTTAACCAGTATTTTTTCCTTAAGTGTGAAATCATGGTTTGAGCTCAGGCTTTGAGACCGGATAGATTGTGGGTTGACCATGGTGATTTATTAGAATTCTCAGGGATGTAGTTTGCTCATCTATAAAATAGAGATTGATGCTCTGTCTAGAGTTGTGAGGACTAAATACCATAATGCATACACACTGCTGGTTAGCACCTCTTCAGCATGTGGTGCACTGTCAGTAAATGGCATCTATTATTATCGTAGCAGGTAATCTCTATAAAGAACCAAGAATTGTGCTCAACACTTGGCAACCAAACACTGGTGGGCATTATTATATTAATAATCTTAGTGGTTAGTGAGACTCACTTCATAATGAGTGCTCTGTCAAGCACTTCAACTAGACAAATGCTCTGTGAGCAACATGATTCTACAGCACTGCTGCAGCTTGTTGGGTTTTGATGATCCTATCATATTTAAGGAGTCCTGGTGTGGTGCTGAAGGGTGAGCACCCAACCACAAGGTCGGTTTGAACGGCAGAGTGGCAGTTCAAATCCACTAGCTGCTCCTCAGAAACTCTATATTGTAGGGATGGGGAACCTTTTTTTTCTGCCAAACTTTATTACATCTATTCACGGGCCGTACAAGATTACCAACTTAAAAATTAGTCTGTTATATATAGGTAAACATTTAATGAACTCACCCCTAGTGTTATGGCTGGAACTCTGGTTACCTTAGCAGGGCCATACCAAATGATTTTGAGAGCCTTATACGGCTTCTGGGCCAGATGTTCGCCCCCTGCTACACAGGGTTGCTATGAGATGGCTCTTAGCAGCAATAATGCATACTTTAAGTTTTACTTTAGAAAGCAAAAAGTACAGCCTACTGGTATGAATAAAAACAAATGAAAACCCAAACCCACTGCTGTCAAGTTGATCCTAACACACAGTGACCCTAGAGGACAGAGTAGAACTGCCCCATACCATTTCTGGAGGTGTAAATAAATCCTCATGGAATCAGGTTGCCTCATCTTTCTCCAGTGGAGAAGCTAGTGGGTTCCAACGGACAATTTTTCTGTTTTCAGCCTAAATCTTCACCCATTGTACCACCAGGGTTCAGGTTACAGGGACAAGACTTTTTGGAAATTATGTCGCAATTGAATTTGGTAAGCTTTTTTGAATCTTCTACCATGTACCGGCATAGCCCTCAGTTAACAGTTGTCTAGTGTGAAGAGTTAAGGTTCTGCATATTGGTACCTCAAACCTTTTTGTTCCTTAAAGTGGAAAGTAATCAGAAGTGAAATATTGATCTCTCTTGGTCTCGTGCTTTAACCATATCTCTCTACTGCCATCGAGACGGTTCTGACTCAGTGACCCACTGCAGAGAGCAGATGTAGATGGATATGGTTAAAACAAGAAACCAAGAGACAGAATAGAATTGGTCCATAGGGTTTCTAAGGCTGTAAATCTTTATGGAAGCAGACTGCTTCATCTTTCTCTTACAGAATGGCTGGAGGTTTCCAACCATCAATCTTTTGGATAGCAGCCCAATTTTTCATCCACTGCATCACCGGGGTGCCTTTCTCATTTAGGTAGTGATGAAGAACTTGGGGTTCAATCTTGGATCTGCCACCTGCATATTGTTAGTAGACTGTCAGTTAATGCTTGTTATTATGTAACTGCATAGACCATCAGTTAATGCTTGTTATTATTATTTTTATTGTGGTAAATATATATAAAACAAAACATCTGCCATTTCAACATTTTTCTTATGTACATTTCAGAGACATTAATTACATTCATCATGTTGTTCAACCATTACCTTTTTCCTTTCCCATTTTTTTCCCATCACCTTTAACAGAGGCTCCATGTTCCCTAAGCATTGAATCTTCCTTTCTGCTTCCCTCCTTCCATTCCCTGATAACCACTAATAAGCTTCGTTATTTATATACTTTCCTATTCTAGGTATTTCATATAAATAAGAGCATACAATATTAGTCTCTTTGTGACTAATTTATTTAACTCAGCATGATATTTATCCATATTGCAGCACGTACCAAGACTTCATCTCTCATTATGGATGAGTAATACTCCAATGTATGTATATATCACATTTTGCATAGCCACTCATATGTTGTTGTTAGCTACCATCGAGTTGGTACCAACTCATAGTGACCATATGACAGCAGAATGAAACACTGCCCGAGCCTGGTCCAACTTCACTGTTGTTGCCACTCTTGAGCCCATCGATGCTGTCACCTTGCCAATCCATCTCATTGGGGGTCTTCCTCTTTTTCTCTGACCCTCCACTCTACCAAACATGATATCCTTCTCCAGTGACTGGTCCCTCCTGACAATATGTCCGAAGTATGAGAGACGAAGTTTGGACATCCTGGCCTCCAAGGAGCACTCTGGCTGCACTTCTTCCAATACAGATCTGTTGGTTCTTTTGGCAGTCTATGGCACTTTCAATATTCTCCTCCAACACCATAACTCAAAAGTATCAATTCTTCTATTATCTTCCTTACTCACTGTCCAGCTTTTGCATGCATATGAGGATACTGAAAATACCATGACTTGGGTCAGGCATACCTTAGTCTTCAAGCTGACATCTTTGCTCTTCAACACTTTAAAAAGGTATTGTGCAGCAGATTTGCCTAATGTAATATGTCATTTGATTTCTTGACTACTGCTTTCATGAGTGTTGATAGTCGATCCAAGAAGAATGAAGTCCTTGACAACTTCAATCTTTTCTCCATTGATAAGTGTTGCTTATTGGTCCAGTGGGTGAGGATTTTTGTTTTCTTTACATTGAGATGTAATCCATACCTGAAGTCTGTGCTCTTTGATCTTCATCAGTAAATATTTTAAGTCTTCTTCACTTTCAGCAAGCAAGGTTGTATCATGATGGATATTTAGACAATTTTCATCTTTTAGCTATTGTGAACAGTGAATGAACTGTTTGAAGCTAAGTTGCCCAGACTGCTTGTATATAAGTATCTGCTTGCATTTCTCCTTTCAGTTCTATTTACAGCTTCAGAAAGTTATGGACCAGTTCTATGCTGTCCTATAGGGTTGCTATAAGTCAGAATTGTCTTGATGGCAATGGAGAGTAGACACAGATGGATATGGTTAGAACAAGAAACCTAGGAGTGGAATTGCTGGATCATATGTTATCTCTTCCTTTAGCAGCCAAAAAGATTTTCTTTTGAGGCACCATACTAATTAAGTGATTCTAACTCAAGATTATAAGGAGCTTTGGTAGCGTAGTGATTACGATTTGGGCTGCGAACCTTAAGGTCAGCAGTTTGAAACTAACAGCCGCTCTGTGGGAGAAAGATGAGACTTTCTACTCCCGTAAAGATTTACACCCTTGGAAACCCTGTACAGGGTCGCTATGGGTCGGAACCAACTCTATGGCACTTAACAACAACAACAACAACAACAACAACAACTCAAGATTATAGGAGCTCTGGTAGCGTAGTGGTTATGAATTGGGCTGTGAACCTTAAGGTCAGCAGTTAGAAACTACAGCTGCTCCATAGGAGAAAGATGAGGCTTTCTGTTCCTGTAAAGATTTACAGCCTCAGAAAACCTGTACAGGGTTGCTATGGGTTGGAACTGATTCAACGACACTTAACAACAACAACAACAACTCAAGATTGGTCAGAGTGGTCCTAGAATGAGTCTTATTTTGGTCTTCGTGCTTATAAGACTTTAGAGGTGCTTGCAGGCTGTGGTATTATATTGAAACACACTCTTTCCAATGTCTCTGTTTTAGTATTCAGGATTTCACACGGAGAGATCTGAATCTGATCATGACAGCCAGTGGGGCGGAAGTCCCTTGACAGACACAGCCTCTCCACAGCTCCTGGACCCCGTGGACAGGCCCGGCTCTCAGCACGACACATCATGTGCCTACAGACAGTTCTCCGACCGAAACTCTCTCTGCTATGGTTTTGCACTTGACCATACTAGGCTGGTGGAGGAGAGGCATTTCCACACCCAGGCCTGTGAGGGAGGCCGGTGCGAGGCAGGCAGGTACTTCCTGGGAACGCCACAGACCGGGAGGGAGCCTTGGTGGGGCTCTCGTGCAGCCTTGCCCCTGACCAAGGCCTCCCCAGAAAGCAGAGACGCCTATGAAAACAGCATGCCTCACATCACCTCAGTCCACAGGATCCACGGTAAGCAGCTGGAATCACTCATGAATACATTTTACTAGGCACCCGAGCACTTTTATTAGAACACTCTAGTTATGACACATTATGACTGACCCTAATGGCTTTCTCTTTTGAATTTACAAAACAGAAATTCTCACCGAAGGGGTTTTAAAAACCAAATTCATTTGTTTAAGTGTGTTGGTTTTGTTAATTTTTACTTGCTTCTCAAAAAGAAATGTATGTTTGCCAAACACACATTTCTTTTTGTGAGGCAAGTAAAATCATCCCCATTTTAATAATAAAAAAGTTTTGAATTAATTAAGAATTAACTAAGTTTTAATTAATTAAGAATCTTTTGAATTTATAGTATGTGCACATTTAAATTTTTCTTGTATTTTTTTGGTCTATAATCTCATGCTTCAAATGTAGACTTGATATGTAGACTTCATCCATTTATAGGTGCTAAATGTCAGGCACTACTGACATTTGGGAAAGTGCTAGATTTTGGAGTCCTGCTGTGGCACTGTGGGATAATGTAGTAGACTGCAAGATCATTTGAACTGCAAGCTTAGTGGTTCAAATTCACCCGTCACTCCTCAGAAACCCTATAGTGGGTCACCATGAGTCAGAACGGACTTGAGGGCACTTAATAGCGGTCTTTGCTTTACAGACTGTTATTCAGCTCACAGGCTGGTTAAACTTTCTAGCCTCCTAGGCAGTAAATGCCAGTAGCCCTCTCTCCCCCATCATTGTGTGTAGAACTTACTGAGATTTTCACCTTGGAATTATCATATGACTTTTTAAAAACACATGGAAATGGGAGTTATAGATAATGCTGTTGATGTTAGTGATGTTTTTTTGTGCTCATTTTAAAATACATTACGGAGTCCATTCCATTCATTCCAAGGTTCAGTTCAGGCAAATCTTTGAAAGTCCTTTTCATTAAGAGTCAGTGACATTCATATTAGTCATGATAATACTCTTTTTGGGTGTCTTGTAGAGGCGACATTGTTGTCCCCACCTTAATGTCTTCTGTCCTGACTTCAAATATCTATCCAAAGAGAGTCCATGTTTTATGAATGATTTTTGATTTATTTCTGTCCTTGCTTTTATTTTCTGCTTTTACTTTTAGCTTTGCTAGTTTGGTAGACTGGCAATGGAAACCTAGGGCAAAGGGCAATTGCTTGCCAAAGAATGCAGTGAAGTGAAAATCCTGGTTTAACCTACACAGTCTGAAAGGAAATATTAGAAATAAAATAAGAAGAAGAGGGACAAGGAAAGCAATGGATAGTGTGATCCAGGGCTTCTCTGCTGCATTAAGCAGTTTACAGCTTTTGCCTGGCCCTTCCTGCCTCTCTCCTCTCTTTTTATATTGACTTCAGACTCTTTTGAGAATAATCTAGTTCATGGAATATATTTGGATCAAAATTAGATCTCTTTCCTTTGTTCAGAACAAGGTGTGACTAAAATTTTAAGTTCTTATTTATTCTTCACCACATTTCAGAAGAAATCTAAGACACCTAAATTCTATATGATATCTGTGTAACTGAGATTTTTACCTTTAGATCTGAGGAAATAATATCTATTTTTTGATTGGGATAAATCCTCAATACCCTCAAATACCCAAAATAACACAACTAGCCCTCAAATACCCTAAAAAACCCCAAACCTTAGAGATTTATTGTAATTCTACTTAAGATACACATTTTGAATTGAGAGAATAAGTCTAGCCGGTATCTTCATTGTACCCTTGAAACCCAATGCTTCATTGTATTTTTTAAAGCATCATTTGAACATTACACTGCTCTAGAAAATATAAGCCAAATTCTAAGCTTTCTTGTTTTATTTTTTGTATAAATGATTCAATGATACGCATACATGGAGAAGTACACACATTTTACCATTATGCTTATTGGCATTTACAAACACACAAACAAGGTTAACCTTCTGATAAAGTTATGATAAATTTCATCTGTACTTAAAAGCCACAAAGAAATATGAATTCCAGTATAGCTCGGTCTGCTTCAAATATTAGTGCATGTATTAAACATACAAGATTTAAGTGTTTTGAGATCTCCCTTTTTAAAAAAAAAAACAAAAAAACTTTTATTGTGAATTGAATGATAGTTTACAAGGGGGAACGTGGGTTTTGTACCCATCCCATCATATTTTGTTTCATTGCGATGATTACAATCCCTTCTATGCATCATCATGTAACAGTATTTGCTTCTATTCCTTATGTTTTTTGTTTTTTTTGATGAGACCACTTACTTTTTCTGATTTCTAGGGCGAGGTCATTGGGATGAAGACAGTGTGGTCAGTTCTCCAGATCCTGGATCTGCCAGCGAATCAGGTGACCAGTATCGTACTGAGCCGTATAGTAGCCCACATGAACCTAGTAAAATTGAAACTCTGATAAGAGCCACCCAGCAAATGATTAAAGAAGAAGAGAACAGATTGCAGCTAAGGAAACCACCCCCAGACCAACTGGCTTCCATCAATGGAACTGGGAAGAAACACTCACTTTGTTTTGCAAACTACCAACAGCCCCAGCCGGCAGGTGAGGTCTGCCATGGATCGGCTCTTGCCAGTACTTCACCATGTGACCACATCCAGCAGAGAGAGGGAAAGATGCTGAGCCCTCATGAGAATGACTATGACAACAGCCCCACTGCACTGTCTCGGATAAGTAGCCCCAATTCGGATCGCGTTTCAAAATCCAGTTTGATCCTAGCTAAAGATTATCTACATTCGGATATATCTCCTCATCAGACAGCAGGAGACCATCCTGCAGTCTCTCCAAACTGCTTTGGCTCTCATCGACAGTATTTTGATAAGCATGCTTACACATTAACTGGATATGCTCTGGAGCACTTATATGACAGTGAAACCATTAGAAACTATTCCTTGGGCTGTAATGGCTCACACTTTGATGTAACTTCCCATCTAAGGATGCAACCAGACCCCTCACAAGGACACAAGGGAACATCTGTTATAATAACCAATGGAAGCTGATGTTTTTCTAAAATATTTTGTTCTTTAAGGATCTCTGAAATGTATTTATGTTTGAATGCCCCATTACCAGCATTTACTATGCCACAGATTATTAGAGAGGATAACCTAAGTTACTGGGTATTTGACATGTGTTCCTGTAAAAACAAAGCAAGCTTAACTTTAACATTCAGAGTTATATACAGATAATGGAGCTAAAGTGGATACACAGACTACCCCTTTAATTACACAGGAACCAGGATCTATAAAGTCTGCATTGAAAAATACACCTATAGAGCAAGTGGTCAGTGTATACACTCCATGAAAAGACTAACAGATGGCATTATAACATTGCATCATGAGGGTCCAGCAAGCATCACACAGTCAAACTGCTATTCACAACCAGCTCTGTACATTTCACATGTAGAAATCAGAATCTGTCATAAAATACACCAACAGATGTGTAACTGTTCTTAACCCTAGTCTATTAAGTTTCTAAATGAGGTAAAGAAATTTCTATTTCCTAAATAACTGAGAAAGAAAGAGAGAGAAAGATGACATTTTGTGAACTGGTTTCTTTGGGTTTCAACCAGTGAGCTCTTTTGGCTCAGACATAAATTAGGAAAATGTTGATATGGTGCAAGAATTAGTTTCACCTGATAGCCATTATAAGCAATCAAGACATGGTGAGTTTTCACCTTACTTTTGAGTTTGATAAGGAACAGGATTGCATTGACTTAGCAGGAAGAGTTGTGCTAAATAGAAGTACTGAGATGTTGGAATACACATCGTAAACCTCAATTGGTATGCTCTATTGGAAGTATTTAGTGAAGGTAGAAAGCAATGAAACAGTATCTAAAAACAAACAATTTAAAATTCAGCAGATGTGTGCCACATAGTAATCAACACATTCAGAACTTATAAAATTAATCAAACAGAAATAATTTCAAATCTGTTCGCTAAGAAAGAAAGGCTAGTAAGTATGAAAAGTAACTAAAGGAAACCAGTAAAATGCTACAAGACAATAGTGTTAGGGTTGGGAAATGTCTCAAAGCACAGATGTGCAAATGTGACAACAAGTGGAAGGACTCAGAAAGTGTCTTTATATATAAAAGCTGGACTGATACACAAGTGGTTGAAGGGAGCAAGCGTAGTACTTTGAAGGAATCGACAAAGTGTTCGTTTTCTTTATTGTTTCTAAACAACACACAGACTGTGGTCTAATAGAGAGAGAGAGAGCATAGACTAGATGTCAAGATCTCTAGGTTTTGGTTCTGACTCTGCCTGTAGATTATTTTGTGACAATAGGCACATCATTTATCACATCTAGATGATGTTTCCTGATCTGCACAAAAGCTCCCAAATTCTGTGCTTTTGTTCACTGGTGCCAGCAGAACTGAATGTGTTACCTAGTTAATGCTCCTCTGTAAATTGTCAAGGGCTTTCTCCACTTACACAGAGGTGTAGCTACCTTGTGTCTCAAGCAGGTGCATGGGCGTTTTGGGGCATGTAGAAAGTAGACACTGATGTGAGAAAGGAAAAATAAGTAAGATGGATTTAATACACTATTCTCTAAAAATCAAAGCAAGTGGTATGAATGATTGGAGAAGTTTCATAGATAAGATTTCCTAGGAGTCCCATGCTTGAAACTCTTGCCATATTCAAGGAGGGGGATGTACTGAAAGAACTTAACTTATAATTCTGAAAACAGAACACAGCATTAAATGCTCAGGGATTGTTGTTGTTGTTGTTAAGTGCCACTGAGTACTCTCTGACTCATAGCCAACCAGATAGAGTTTCCAAGGAACAGATGGTAGGTTTGAAATGTCTACCATGTGGTTAGCAGTCCAGGATTTATCCTATAGCACCACACCAGGACTTACCAAAGTTTTACCAGTTAACACAGATGACAGTCCATAAAATAATAATCTAAGAAATAAACACTGGCAGTTTGTACAGGAGAGAGGAGGCTTCATAAAATTAAATATTTCTTAGGTATGACAAAGTAATATTTGTGTTGCAAATGGAAAAAGTACAAGTAAGTGAGAAAGTTGGTGGTTATAATACATACTTTCAAACAATTTCAAAGTTCAGTTAAAAACTAAATTCTGAGTTATAAAAGCAAAACATTTAGTAATTTTGAGAAAACTTTTTACAGGAAACTCTAGGGATACTTAAAACGAATTTCTGATCAATTTGCAGCATGAGGTAAGGTTTTAGGAATGCTAAAGATTTTATAGAATTGTGTAGATGGATAACTGGCTTGTCATAAATATCTGAAAACTATGATGAATTTTGGGAAGGAAGCTATACAGATGGACTTGACTGATGGATATACATTATAGCAAATATCTCAGGGACAGATACTAGAAGATAAATGGAAACTGAAGAACCAAGGAAAATGAACTGATACTGAAAAGAAAAAAAAAAAAAGACTCCGTCTAAAGGCATTTCAATGGAATTTTTATATGGAAGATACTTAATTGGTGGAAGAAGTAAATTATGAACTCCACAGATAGAGGTGTTACTCGAAAAAATAATGCTCTTTAAAATGACATCACTAACACTTTGAAGGGAAGACAAAATTAACCAGATTACATCTTGATTAAAAACTTGGTAGATCCAGTTTTCAGTGCATACCATTCATTGCATTTACTGAGTATCAATAATTATAGTAGCAGCTTTATTATATTATATTACATATAATGCCTTAAAGGCCCACAATATTATATACCCTACTTAAAAAAAAAATGGCATGCTTACTGCAAAATGACCCATATAGTAAGCTAAGACATTTATGATGAAAAGATGCTTTCTTAAATATACACATATTATTGTTGTTGTTAAGTGCTATCAAGTCAGTTCCGACCCTGTATAGGGTTTCTAAGGAGCAGCTGGAGGGTTTGAACTGCCAATTTTGTGGTTTGCAGTCCAGTGCTGATCCTACAGCACCACACTAGGATACACATAGATATGCTATAATATATTTATAGCCTACATTATTTTGTTCTATGTAGGAACATTCCTCAAAATGTAGATATATCATGTGTATCTTTCTTTAATACAAACCCACTGCCATCAAGTTGATTCCAACTCACAGTAACCCGTAGGACAGAGTTGAACTACTCCGAAGGGTTTCTGAGGCTGTAAATCTTTGTGAAAATATACTGCCACGTGTTTCTCCCACAGAGAGGCTGGTGGGTTCAAACTACAGACCTTTTGGTTAGCAGTCTGGCACTTAGTCCACTGTGCCACCAGGTTTCCTTTCTTTAATATGAAATACAAAATAAATCTGCCCAATAACTTAATCAGTTAAAATAAATTCAAATTGGCTTTAGTTTTAATCCCTGATTTCAATGTATTTACCAAATGCTGAGAATCAGGATGTTGACTGAACCAATGAGAGGCGTTAATGTGCTGGACTGCAAGGTCTGTTTGAACCGCAAGGTAGGTGGTTTACACTCACCAGCCCCTCCTGGGGAACTGTATACAGGGTGTCAGAATCAACTCAATGGCACATACAACAACAACAAGAGGATTTATAAGAATGTGACCTATCCAAGTATTGGTACAATATAGAGCAATCATTAGAGAATACAAAGCTCACACTTTTCTGTAAGAGTAAGAATGTCTTTATGGTTCCATTTTATTTGTACTACTTAATTACTTGCCTACAAGCTTCTCCACAGGAGAAAGATGAGAATTTCTGCTCCCACAAAGATTAATAGCCTGGAAACCCTATATAGGGTTGCTGTTAGTTGGAACTGACTCAACGATGCTTAACAACAACTTAATTAAAGATTTGGGGTAACTAAAGAAATGAGTATTTCTTCTTTTTTGAAAAAATTTTCTAGAAACTATGATTAAAAATATAATCAAATTATATGTATTTTGTTTAAATGAATAATATTAATGTCCAGCCCTGGTGTGGCACTGTAGGATAAGTGCTGCAAGGTCAACAGTTCAAACCTACCACTCTCAGAAACCTTATATAGGATTGCTGTGAATTGGAACAAACAAGATGGCATACAACAACAACAACAACAACAACAACACTAGTATCACAACTACTACAAGTCAGACGTTTAGGTGTGCTTTAGCTCCACAAGTCTTTTGACACACTTTACTGAATAGAATGTGCTAGCTTTTTAAAACTGTAATTGCTTGATGCTAGATGATATGACAATAAAAATGAGTCAGGATACGATCATTGATTTGCCTTTAGTGTTTATACAGAAAACCACTCATTTTCTCTTGATTATATTTTATAGGATTGAGACTATTTCCATTGGGTCCTAATCCTACTGCTACATGTGGCCTCTGGATAGGGAATCTCACTTAAAATATGCTTTAAGGCATCTTTTAGAAAAGGATAATATGCTTCATTTAAAAAAAAATTTTTTTAAGTTGGTAGATGAAGATCTATTCCAATTAAAAATATCTTGGAAAATATGCATAGATATTTAAAAACAAGAGTTTCCCCCCAAGATTAGACCAAGAAAGACAATGTAAGAGACATACTGAACACAGATTGAGTATTTTTCAGCTCTCTCTCTCTTTCTAGAGCAAGATATTACTAAGATATTTGGGAGTGTCAGTGAATACTGATATTTGGAAAATAGTGTTTGACCATTTTGGGATTTTTCACCTTACCTAGTGGATTAATTCACCCCTTATTAGCACTCTCTTTGGTTATAAATCTCAAATGCCCAGATTTTACTCTTCAACTCTTTGAAATCATAATATATAAATATACATACTGTTTTCTGAACTACTTAAATCCTGTGGTCTCAAATAAGGGGTTCACCTTTCATGTAAATGTCAGGTTTTGTGAATAGGGGTTTGACCTAAAAACAGCTAAATCTATTGACCAGTTCTTGCTGGGAAACATATTGTGGATAAGATATTTTCATTTTAAGTTTGAAATGAGTCACAGAACAGCTATGGACACATGCAAAGAGTATCATAAATAGAAAATGTTCTTGAGGGGAATTTCCATATGGTGCTCATTTCTTCTGCACAAA